AACACTTGTCCTTCTACAATAAATAAGAAACAAGAAAATATTATTAACCAAGTTCCGTAAAACCTATGACCTTCATCAATTATTACTTTTAGTTGTTGATTCAAATGCTTGACTAGTTTTCTATAACTTAAACTTAATGTTCGAACAATATCTTCATTAAATGAATACTAATGAGGGCTAATTTCACGAATGAGTTGTTCATAAAAACAAAATATGTAACTAAAATAAATCAAGATAAACTCTCTTTAATACTTAGTAAATTTGTCACTGGTAAAGCTGAATACAAATCGACAATTTCTTTGATTGTCTTCATCTCTTGCAATGGACAACAACGTCGACATTCGATGGAACAATAAAAGTGAGCTTTTCTGAGATTTAAATGGTAACTTATACACTTTGACTAACGATCAGTTTTTTTTGCAAAAAAAAATAATTTTGTTCCAGCTGCTAAATTTTGTTGGGAAAACTTAGTCGCAACAAAGGTCAAATTTCAGCATCTTTAGAGAAAAGCATCATTTTTTTTTGTGAAAAATAAAAACAGTTCGACAATAAATCATATATAGTTAGAAACAAGAACTTTTGCTCTATTGATTTATAAGACAAGTTTTCATTCTCAAAAAATAATTGTTCTTTTTTACGCTAAGCATTTTCCAAAAAGACGTCTTTAGTAAAGTTGGTCGCCACTTTTTTTTTCCACTAATCCAATATTAACAAAAATTCCAGTGAATATTTTTCTATATTTGTGACATAAACTCAGTTAGCGCAAATATGTGCAAATGCTTTTGGACTGAGATGCAGGCTTTCTAAAAACCTTGATTCTTAAAGATTTTTCAGGATTTCTTTGTCACACGGATACTTTGAGAGAAAAACATAAAGACATTTAGAATCAACGTAAAAATCTGCATCGACCAATCTATCGTTTGTCAGCTTTTAAAATAAAAAGTTTTTTCACAGAAGTTGGAGATAAGGATCTCCTTCAAGGATTTTCCATCGAAAATGATCTTGTTCTTTTAAAATTTTTTTTTTTTTTGTTTTCATCAATCTTATTTTTAAGCACAAGAAGCTAATATTTCTATAAACAAAACTCGTTTTTTGACAGAAAATAAACCATATCAACATGTTCGATAGAAATTGCTCGCTGCGTGTTCAATGGGTATGTTTTTAGTAGAAAACAGAGACCTAACGAGAAAAAAAAACGACCCTACGTAATAAAAAACCGAGAAGAAAAAAATGTTCGTGTTCTTACGACCGTTGCTATGGTTTTTTTTAAAGAAAACAATTAAAAATATTATATATATAGTAATAGAAAACTACGCAGAAAAACAATTAAATAGAAGGATCACTATAATTTTCGTACAAAATAAAATATTAATTTTTCATTGTATAGAATAATATAATGCGTAATATAAATATTCTTTTCATATTCAGCATGATATCATTTATATACGTCATAATTTTAATTGCGCAGTATTTTTTACAAAAGACAAAGAGGTGATGAATAGAATCTTGTAGACTTTAAAAAAAATTTCTTTTGAAATCAGAATAATATATTTCTATACAATAAAAATGGATTGACACTTTTATCATTATATAACTCTAATATAAATTACTATAATAATATTTAAGTTTTATGCATTGAATTCATTTCAACAATGGCATATTTAAAATTGTTTTTCATCTTTAGTTAGATTAGTATAATAGATCATATAACATTTTATGAATAAAAGATTTCGAGGTCACAAAGTAACCATGTTACTGGAATCATTTTTATTATTATGTACGTAGAACATAAGATACTGGAAATTCAAAATTTTAGCAAATTTTTGTTTTCGATTTATTTTAATGTAGTTGGATAGAACATATCGAGTTATCTATGAAAAATTACTTTTTCGATTTTTTGGAAACAAAGTTTTTTTCTGAAGTGATTGAGAAGAAGAATAAATTCTAAATATCATGATTACAGTTGTCCACTATCACAGATATTTAAATACTTTTTTTCACTTTGCACAGCATTATAAAGGTTATTTCCTGATTTTGCAGACAAAATTGACTAGAATGAAACCTTATTTACATAAGGTTGTTATTCTCCGTCGATTTTTGTCTGCAGAATCAGAAATTAATCCTTATAATGTTTCACAAAGTAGAAAAAAAAAGTGTTCACATATCTGTGATAATGGACAACTCGAATCAAAATGTTTAGGATTTAATCTTTTTCTTAATATTTTCAGAAAAAAATTGTTTCTCAAAATCAGAAAAGTAGTTTTTCATAGGTAAATCGATATACTCTATCTAAGGATACTAAATAAATTGAAAACAAAACTTTACTGAAGTTTTGAAGTTTTGGCACTTTACACATCGATATTTATCTTTGTTATAAGATTAAACGTATTCTCATAAGTGTTTTCTTGTTTATTGAAAATTCAATATGAATATTCAATTTCGAATTTATCAAGTAAATTTTATTATTGTTGATATTAAAATTACACTGTTACTTTCCGATAATTGATAACAATCTTCTCTTTTCAACAAACTTGTTCGTATAAGATGATTCAATCGATTGGTATTAACATGTTAACCTTGCATGCTGTATATATGATAGACAGGTGATTGATGTTCATAGCTGTCAACTGTTGAGCATATATACAAGTACTATGTGTCAATTCTTCTCTCATTTACTTACACTCTTGCTCCATTCTATATATTGATCTATGATTAGATTGAGAGAATTATGCTTAAAGGAAGTATGACAATAACATATGTTTAACAACATAGAAGTCATTATGGTTGATTGCAAAAAAAATGTGCTATTTTTTACTATGATAGAATTCGATATCGACACGATGATATTTTCTTTGACATTATTTGAGAGCTCAATCATGCAATCTTATCATATATAATTTAATTTAAAGAGACATATGCCATCGTATAATAGCAACAAGAAAAATCTTTTTTTTTTCTGAGTGAACATATTAAAAAATACACTATGAAACATCATTCAAATACTAGTATCTTGAAACTTTGATAAAAATCGTAATATGATTTCTTTTATCAATAGTTTATTTTAGTTTATTCTTGATTGATTATACATTCAGCAATCATTATATTTTGATTAATATAGCAACTTTATTGACTAATGTAAGTTAATATATGGTACAGATTACAGTATGTACTCCACCTCATATTTGTCTATCGGTTGTGATATTCTAGTTGTCTGTATTTCATTCTGAAAGCTGTCGTGTAATCACAGCCGACAAGCGAAGGTCAAATACAAGAGAAGAGTAGAGAAGGAAAGTGAGTTTCTTCCAAAAAAAAAAAGAGTTGGTCGATGCTTGTGGTGTCGGCGACCTTACCCCTATGATGTATGTGTATGTCTCAATTAGCCAAGGTCTTAATTTGATTCTCCGATGATAGTAGTGCTGATACATTCTCCCGTTTGACACTAAAAGCTTCACTATTTCTTACTACTACGACAACTATGGTATATCATTTCCTTATTACCGTATCTTTTGTAACCAAGAAATGTTCATAATATCAATTTTCATGGTCATGACAGTCGTTCAAAAGATATACTAAATGCACAAATAAATGGTAATACTACATCCAGTAGTATATCGATTATCATTTTTGATGATAAGTGCATGCGCATATGTTCGAAGCTGCTGTGTGCTTGTCATTTCTACACTAGATTGTATTTATCTATCTCTCAATTTATGCCTAAGGGAAACAGACAATTTTTGACGACGACAGGTAATCTAATGCTTTAGGTGCACGATCTGCATGCAATCAATGATATCTATGCATAGAATCTAATGGTACAAATATTAATTTTTCTTTTTCCTTCAATTATTTTGAAGGCTCATTAAAAAAATGAAGAAAGTACCCGATGGGCATGTAACCTTGTTTATTTAACAATGTATTCAATATAAGCACGAGTTACAAAGACAGAAATATATGTATGTAAGAAAGACGATGTGCATCAGTGATGTTAAAAGGAAAAGAAAAAGAAATCGAAGACGACGACGTAAGGGTTTCATTATGTGTAGCTTGAAAAAGAAATTCATTGATATCAATTAGTTAAAAGGCAATGAATATAAACATAACGAAGGACTAATTAACGATATCAATAATAACTATTTTGAAAATTATCTGTGTATCTATCTCTCTTTTCTCCTCTTTTTTATCATTTTACCGAAGTACATCAGGTGAGTTAAATATTATTAATTAAAAGAATCCATTCCTTTTAACAATATAAAACGTACGGAAAGCACGACAAAATTCATAAAAAAAAAAAGTACATCGTATGAAGAAAAGAAAAGTTTCCTTTAAAGAATATCGTATTCTTCATAATACTGCTGGTAAGAAATATAATGGTGAGAGAGAACTAGTAAAATGAGTGGAAGATAGATATTTGAGAGTGTCTTTTTGATTCCTATGTAATTGATGAAATAACTACTTGAGTATAATGTTCTTTTTATATTGAGATAGATAGATAAGATTCCAAAAATAAGCAGACATAGATTAATATTTGAACGCAATAATATGAACAGATCAATGATGCATAAAAGATTTTTTTTCTTATAAGTATACAATAATCGAGGTACCACAATACTCTTTTCCTCTAATTACAGACTAACTGTCAATATTATATACTTTTGTTTATGAGTCTAGCTGTTAGTATCCTACTGTGCATTTTTCCGTATAAGTTTATGCTATCATTTATATGACTATGTAGAGTTTCTTTTTCTTTTCTTTTTTGCGTTCTGTTTGAACATATAGTAACATAAATGAATACACACTAGTGTAGTTATTAATAATTATTTTATTCTTCCTTCACATCATCTATCATTGCTTGATAAAATATATACAGTTGATTTTTGATGATATATATCTATAGATATATAAATAAGATTATCCTTGCTTTTGAATTTGTTTTAATTGAATATTTAAATAGATATTTATTCATAAATTCATTAACAGAACTTTATATTCTATAGATTAAAATGCCAAGAATAAATACAACAAACTATCTTGATTCATCAGCAATATCCATAGCTGTTATAGCTATGCAAAATGTTGATACGAATGGAAATTCAATAAAATATTTTCAACGATTACTTCAACGTTTTGGTGTTATTTATATGGCAATTGTAATTATTCTTGGATTTATTGGTAATTCTATATCATGTTATGTTTTTGTTCGAAGTAAACTCAAGTAAGTGAGAAAAAAAAAAGAAAAATATAAATAGTATCGAAAAAAGAAATATAATCAAAATTCTTTTTTTTTTTGTTTTTAGACGTTTAAGTTGTAGTTTATATTTAACAGCTCTTTCTATATCTGACAATGGTTATCTTATATGTTTGGGCCTTATTTGGCTTGAAAATGTACGTGTTTTTATATTTCATAATAATGGTATTTGTCAAATTACTGTTTATTTAACAACAGTTTTTAGTTCATTATCAGTATGGTAAGTTTTTTAATTTGAATTATAAAACTAACTTGAAGAATTGAAATTATACTTAATATATAATCATATAAAAATAAAAACATTCTTAAATGTTTCAAAAAATTTTTCAGATTTTGCGCAACTAGATGAAAAGAAAATTTCAAAAGAATGGAATAGAAATTCAATGAATTGAGTATAAATTGAAAGATTGTGAGTGAATATATTATTGATTGATTTTTTTTGTTATTAATATTAAGTCAAAATCGATGACTTATAAATTTTTATTTCAAAGTTGCACACACGGATTTTTACTTTGAGAAAATATTTTCTATGAAACAGTTCATGCTTATAATCGAAGCCTTCAATATAATTTAATGCTCATAGCCTGTTCCCTTGATATATATTTCCGGAGTTCGTTCTGTTTCTTTATCGTCAAAATTCTTTTAATATATTATGAGAGAAACTGACATTGATGCACTTTCATAGTTTCCTAAGAGAAATAACAAATATTGAATTATGTTTGACTTCCTTTTTAATAACATCATACTCTCGTGTGAGCCTTATAGAACATCATAAGATCACGGTAGTAAGAATTAGAGTTAGATCAATAAGTTAATCTAAAACGGACTCAATGAATATTATGTTTCAGTGCTAATAAGTGTGATAGGGATTAAAATGCTGTAAGTAAATTGACAATGATATAAATTTAGATTCAAAAATCGAGTTATTTAAAGTAACAATGACAAGCATAAGTTGGATAAAAGTTTCTTTTTTTTTGTAAAGATAAACTTTGATTTAAACTAGATGTTGCATAGAAGTAGCAAGAAGAAATATATGTTATGATAACATTTCTTTTTTCATCAATTAAAAGATTTTATCATTTTAGTTAAGATTTCATTTACAAAAACAATATTAACAATATTTTAAAATGTTGTTTTATCAAACAAAGTATGAAAGAAATATAGATTATATTTAGAAGATTATTTGGTACTCAAAATGATTTTTTTACAGTGAAAATAAAAAAACGTAGAGTAAATAAATAAGTTATTTTATGTTAAATAATGAGATTGAATTTAATATTTACAGAAAGATAAATATTTATGAAGTTATATTTCAAATGACTGATTTATAGAAATTTTATCTGATAATTTATCTATTAAAATGACGTAGAATTTTACATTTCAAAATCTAACTTTCAAACATTAAGCATATTTAACAATCATATTTCTTTAATCACGTATGCAAGAATTCAAGAATATTGACAAAAAAATCGCCGCAAAATTTCAGTTTAAAATGATGATAAAATATTGATGTTAGTTTTTTTTTCCATTTCAGGTGTACTGTTGCATTTACAACCGAACGTTTTGTTGTTGTTGCTTATCCATTAAAACGTTCACAATATAATTCCTCAGCACGTGCTCGTTATGCACTTACTCTACTTACACTTTTAGCTATATTACTTTATTCACCATCATTATGGACATCAGGTATTGAAACAGCTAAATCCGAACGACCAACATTACCCCCCTATGAAACACGTTGTGTTACATTACGTCAATGGCTTAAATTTACACGTCAAATGAATATAATAGATTTTTTTTTAACATTTATCATTCCTTTTTTAACAATTGTTACATTAAATACATTAATTATACTTAAATCAGGTCAATATGATCGTTTATTAGAACGTAATTATATTCAACCATCAACATATATATTACATAATTTATTAGAACATCGTTTACGACGTTCGAAATATCATCGACGTATAACAAAAATGTTATTAATTATTTCAACAACATTTTTATTATTAAATACACCGATGCATTTATTAAAAGTTTATTATTTTTTCTTTTCAAATGATGATACATATGATGAAAAATCTTCACATGAATCAATTATTGAAATGTTAACATTTTATTTATTTTATACAAATTTTTCAATAAATTTTTTCCTTTATTCATTATGTGGAAAAAATTTTCGTTTATGTCTTATGGATTTAATAAAACATTTTGGTCAATCAAAACAAACAAACAATTATTTAACAAATGGTTTAATTATAGCTGGAAATACGGCTATTGGTGAAAGTCCTGTTGTTCAATATTTTCAACATACACCACGTACACATCATCTACGAAAATTTTCAAAACGTGATAATAGTAGTACAATTAGTAGTGGTGGTTTTAAAGGAAATCCAATTTTATCAACATTTCATGCAGCTGCAAATGTTGCTACTGGTAGAAGTCAACATATGATACATCAGTCATCAGTTGATTCATCATTTAAAAAAAGTTCTTTAAAAATTGAATTATTAACAAATAGATCAACATCAACTGTTTCGAAATTTTATCCAACATTTACGATAAAGTGAAAGAAAAAAACTAAATGATATTGATTTCTTTGTTTCTTTTTTTTGTATATACCTCGAACGTATAACGAATAAAGAGGACATACGTTTTTTATTGTATAGGCTATTGTTAGAGAAAAGAAGAAAAGATAAATATGGTATATAAGTTCAAATTGCTTTATTGAAGAATTTTCATCTTTTGAATTATTAACTTGACTTTTGATGTATACTTCAGGACAAACCATTTCGATTCCTATTTTATAACAAATACTCCCCGCTGATTGGCCAGACCCCACGCGAGGGTCCCAAGATTGAGGAAGGGTGTATGCGAAAATATTTCAGAGGTGCTTTACTGGATGTCCAAAAATACTTGCAACATAGTCTATTTTGTATATAATTCCCTACAGGCAAAAATATAAAATCTTGAGTTTCTTCAAAAAGATGCGCCGTCTAATTCCCTATAACAATTGTAACAAATTATCTTCTGATTTATTCCGATAGATTTTTGAAAAACTAAAAATAAGGATATGTGAGGCGTCACTATTTTCAATTCTCTCGAGAGCGACAAAAATATTGGGCCTTCAAAATCGATAATTTTGAAAAAAATGAAAAAAATTGAAATTTTTCAAAATATTCTGTACCCATAGGCAATAGAGATCTTTTGGAGTTTTTGTGCGATAGTAATTGATGAAGAAGTCCACCAATGAATAAAATATGTTTCAAAAGTTTCATTATAACTTAACGAATTACACATGCTCAGACACACCATTGACCACGTAGCCACTATTGGGTAGATGGAAGGCAATCAAGAACAAAAGTTAATATATGCGTTATAAACTTCAACTCATGACAATTTGGAATAGTATTTATTATGAATTAAGTTTCTTCTGACATCATAAAATGACTCAGAGCAAAAACGACTCTCATTTGACAACACATGTAAAAAATACATGCATTCTTTGGTATTAATTATTATCGGTTCACAACTGTTTCTTTTCCCATTATTTCTAAAGCACAGGATACATGTTGCTTCTGCCCACTCAATAGTGTGGTCAAAGAAAAAACTCAAGTCTCAAGAGGTTGTTCAATTCCCTTTTTCCACCACATGATCGCTGAATCTATCGAGCCGTCCGACTCTAGGAGCAGGACATTCGGTAGATCAGCCCACATCACTGGTATATTAGAGAGGCTAATACACTTTATTTATAAAGTTATTTTATCAGTGGCTCTTCTGGAACCGCTATGGGGGGTAAAGGATTAAAACACTTCAAGTTTTGATTATTTGTCTCTGTCGAGATAAATGCAAAATAAATATTATTACAAGTGTTGAGTATGCCAAAATGTTCGCAACATTTTTTATTTCTTACGTATCTCGATCTATATAAAGGATAAAATCTTGAATTTTTTTTAGAAAACCGCTGTGAAAAACTCTACAAATATGTTAGTAACACATCCTATTGACTTGTGCCGATCGTCTTCTCCATACTCCAAATGAAAAATCTACATGATAGTGCTATTGCCCACCGTATTGAACATAGTAAAAAAATGTTCGGAAGAGTTTTTTGTTTTCGATATATCTCGACATGGAAAAATCGTAAAGTCTTAAACTTTTCTAAAAGATGAGCGGTCAAAAGCTCTGCATAAGCTGTATGAACAAATCTCTATTGACTTGTTCCAATGATTTTTGTAGACAATTAAAATCGAAGATCTGCGTGAACTTGCTATCGGATGTTCCAAAAGATTGGTAGCATTTTTTATTTTGCATATATCTTGGCACGAGAAAGCGATAAAATCTTCAACTTTTTCAAAAGATGCGCTGTGAAAAGGTCTACAATAAATTGTAAAAAAAAAATGTCTATTGATCTATTCTGATGGTTTTTCTCAATTGAAAATAAGCAACCCATTTGATATTGTTATTTTCCACTGTATTGAGCACAATAAATTTCTTTTGGAAGACTTATTTTACATATATCTCGGCATAGGTAAATGAGATAATCTTGATTTTTTTTTTTGGTAAAAGATGCACCGTCGAAAGCGTGGAAAGTAGCACTATCATGTAGGTTTTTCATTTTGTGTATAAAAAAAGACTATCTAAACAAATCAGAAGAAAATTTGTTACAGTTATTATAGAGAATTTGACGGTTCATCTTTTCGAAGAAATTCAAGATTTTATATTTTGTCTGTAGAGAATTATGTGCAAAATAGACTATGTTGTAAACATTCTGAGACGTCCGATAAAAAATTTCAAAAAGCTTTTATCCATTTTGCTGGCTAATCATGAACGATTTTCAATTAGTTGGAGGTACGCATCCCCCTGCATTCCCTACTTTCGTGGGTGCTGTGATTGACAGATAGATTTTTGAGTTCTTTATATACAAATATCTGCGATTCATTGACTAGACTTCAAAGTAATTACGTCTAAGTGTTCCGAAGACCTTCGCGTCTAAAACAAAAAATGCAAAGTCATATTTCATATCTTAGCTTTTTTTTTAGACATTGTGTTCAAAGCTTTCCAATTAAGGTCGCTAACATGATTACAGTTTAGGAGGTTCAAACGAACATATTCTCATAGATTGTTTTTGCCTTTCATTTGCGTTTTCATGATTTATATCATATGGCTGCAGTTAAAACTAAATTACAGAAAAGTATAGAATAACATTAAATATTGAACGTGGAGTGTTGGTGTAAATACTAAAACACTAAACAAGGTTCACTGGGACAAGGATTTCATTAGCACATTGGTGCTCACTGCCTACACACGTCCGCATTCATTGCAGCATTGAAGTACCAACTCTATCAAAATATGCCTTTTTTTGTAATGATATATTCCAATTCTTCGGTGAGTACTGATGTAAATGTGTACTCACTACACGGAGTCGATGGTCGATAAACTGAAACTACATATTCCTAGTTATATAGTAGAAAAAAAGCAGTAAAAATTGAAATTTTTTAAAATTTTATTTACAAGAAAATACCAAACGAAAACTATAATAATTCGAAGTTTCTGTTTTTTGTTTTTGTTGATGCAGTTCATTGTTCTTGCATAATCGATGAATATTTCGTTCTGTGTTTGTTAAGGCGTATAAGAAAGATTAGCAGAAATAAGTAATAATTTAGCCGTGTTATTCAATGAAACATCATCCTCAGTAATTATTGTATCAGAAACAAGAGAACATGTTGCAGTTTGATTATAAAAAGTTAATGCTGAACATCCATTTGTTAATAAACATTGACAAACACAAGTACCAATTGTTTGATTTGCTATTATTTGATTAGTAGCTTTATGTGCAAAGCCTATCGAAAAATGAATATTAATTTACAAGGGAAAAAAACAAAAGATGTTGTATACTATCTTACCATCATAGTATGTGTAATTTCCACAAAAAGCGCTGAGAACAATACAAAAGAGAAAGAGACACGTACGCCACATAATGTCTTTCATTTTTTAAATGAGATATGCCATTATTTTCCATTTCTTCTCTTATATATATATATTATTCCATTTAAAAGTAAAAACAAAATAAGACAGCAAAAAATTCTTTTTTTCTCAACTAATAAATGAGGGAATAATTTTTTTCTTCATGACTTTGAAAGCACTTTTTTTAATTTTCTAACAAAAAAAATAAAATATTAATTCATTTTTTTTTCTGATAATGAGACAAACTGATATTTGTGTAGGAAATATATTGGCTATGTGTTAATTAATGTCAATTGAAAAACATCAAAAGCACAGAATAAAAAAAAACAGAATCTATGATGATGTTCTTCTTCTTCTACTTCTTTTCAGAAACAATTAGTTTTGCTTATGGTTTTATATTTTCTTTTAATCTTTTTTAAGCTATGGTTGTCTCAAGGTGTCTTTTACTTTTAATAAACAACAGCAAATATACTTTTATTTTTTTTAATAGATGCACGGTAATAAAAAAAAATTTCAATGAAAATTTTAAAATTTCTTTTTCTTACATAATTATATAGAATCAGTTTTGAGAATATATTTGATTGTGTCGGATACATGCAATACGATCGAATGATTATTAAAAAATTTTTTTTATTTAGTAAAAATTCGTAGAAAAAATTCATATTGTTTAAGCTATCATATGTTTTTCGTATAATAATAACGAATGGATGAAACATGAAATGAATTTATATATGAGCTATAGGCATGACTATGTTCAAGACAATTCACAAAAAGAAATATGTTATAAGTTTATGTTCTTGTATAATAACATTATCTTTTATCTTTCGACAAAAAAGCCAGTTCTAGAGAATCAATAATATATTTTTAATGCATAAATTTCTAATTAAATAATAAGTCTCATATGGAATTACAAGAAAATTTTCATTGTGAAATTTACTAGAATCAAATATTAATTGATACTTGTATGAAACATATTTATTTTCGTTTTAAATTATTACAAATACAGTAAAACCTTTCTATATGAGCACATCCTTATACTGAGCAGTGCAGAGTCCGTTCAAGCGAATTTTGCTGGAAATGAGTCCCTGCTCATTCTGAAATGTGAGCGTTTATTTCTAGTCCCATGAGTAATAAAAATCTCCATAACGTGAGCAATGTATGCTCTATAACTAACGTACAGAATGAAAAGAAAACGATATTATGCGTATTGCATTTTGATAAACAATCAAGTAATATATATTAAGAGTAGATGAACTAACCGAGAACATAAAATAGAAAAAAAACTCTTGAATAGTAACAACATTGCTTGATGAAGTATTTCGTCATTTTGTGTTAACAGCTAGTCATATAGAATCATGACAATATCTACTGATTTACTTTTGTTTCAAAAATTGAATTAATAAACTATTGAAAAGAAGAAAAACAGCACCTTATGCAATCGACAAGCCATTGTGAATGAATATTTTAGTGTTTGAAAAAAAAATCTCCCAATAATGAGTACTTCCGTAAACCAAGCATTTTTGGTCAGTCCTGATGGTGCTTATATTAGAGAGATTTTACGATCCTTTCAGCGACTAAGAACATTTTTGTACCACATTGTATTCGACATTTGCAATTTAGAAGGACGTGCCAGGGTGGCCGAGTGGTTAAGGCGTTGGACTTAAGATCCAATTCACAATAGTGAGCATGGGTTCGATCCCCATCCCTGGCAATTTGTCTTTTTTTTATCCCATTCTGTCCTTCATGAGAAATCTTGATGACGTCATAAAACAACATCATAAAGAAGTAATTGCAACACAACGAGTAAGATGAAAAACATCGATATATCTAATATATCTTGGAAAGTAGCAACTGTACAATGCAATGAAATATAAGATTTAATATTTATTTATTTTTTGTATAGAAATTTCTCTGTAGAAAAACATAATAAAATTAAGAGACAGTATAGTTCTATCTATAGACATAAATAGAAAAATATGTTTGCTGAAATGAATGAATTTAATGCAAGTTTAAACAAGAAAAATGTTTTCATATTGGACTTTGCTGATCAAAACAGATTTACTATTTATTCAAATAATGATTTGTTTTCTTTTTGATAGAAGTCAAATAGTTTGAAATTATCATCCGTAAACTAAAGATATACTCAAAGTAATCTCAATTATAGAGAGTTATGGATCCAGAAATTTAGCTTCTGTCGGATTCGGATCCACAAAAACTTGGACTAGCACCTCCCTACTCATCTATATTTTCAAAAACATAATAACTTTATTTCGAGTGATCAGCAGCAATTTATAAGTCCAAGAATGAGGATGATAGTCTAGCAAAGTTTTAAAATTTTCATTGAGGAATTGAGACAAGCATTGATATATGGTAATACTATCTCCAAGCATTAATCGACATTGAATATCATTTATCATTATCTATAAACTATTCATTTTAACTTCTTCTTGCAATTTCTTCAACAATGTTAATGACAATATTTGTTAAAAACTAATTGGGTTCTTTTCGAGATCGATGACATCCTGTACACTAATTACTCTAACTGGCGAAGCACATCAAATAGTGTAGATGCTGCGGTATCGCTGATCTTCAGAAGTACTTAATGTCATACAATAGATTAAATGACTAAAAGCGGCAATGATCAATTCCTTTTTTTAAAGAACAAACAAATCGAAATGATTATTTTTTTTCTCTGTTTAATAACATAAATGATAATAGCATCATTATTAATAAATTATTTAAACAAAATCATCACTTTCAATCAAATCGTTTAATAATCGTCAAATAAGTTTTGTGTGATTCATCAAATAATTGATTGGTTCGAGGTATAGCTACTCTACGTTCATTCATCGTTTATTTTAAAAAAATCTTTATATGTAACTAAAGAAGAAGAAAAAAAGAGGTCGATTCCTGGCAACGCTTTTAAACTTATAACATGGAATTGTCATACATCGTCTAATCTTCTATAACACCGTTGTTGTCAAGAGCATCCACTTGTCAAGTGGTCCGACCGTAAGTGATCATCTATATTATGCTTGTCAATCAGTCATATAACAAAACGTTCTTTTCTTTTTTTGTTATTTAGTTAATTACCTAACAGATGGATACACAAAGACGATTTCCAAATGCAGGACCCTTGTTACCTGACATGCCTCGATCGTAAGATATTAAATTTTACTAAAAACTAAAAGTTCATTCTGTTTTGTTTTAGACCTCAACCGTCAAATGCTCCAACACCATCATCAACTCAACTTATGCCTATTGATGCACGTTTTCCTCCACCAATGTTACCTCCAATAGGTACACAATCATTACCAAATGCACCAATATTTCCTTTACGTACTGGTACTCAACCATCAATGTAATTTTTGTTTTCTTTTAATCTTTTATAAAAGTATATTTCTATATTAAATTTTTTTTGGTTTTGTTTTTTATTCAAGGTTTGATGATTCATTAAATCAATCTCTATATAAAGTAAAACAATTAGAAAGTCGTTTACAAATGACAGAAATATCTAATCGTGCTTTACTTGAAGAAGTTGTTCGTTTACAAACTGAAGTATTCAATGCTGTATGTATATATATATATATTTACTTCTCATATAAAAAAAGAAAATTTAAATATTGATTTTATTTTTAGATTCGTCAAAGTCAAACAATTCTTCAAGAAGAACGTTTATCTCGTCAACAAATAGAAAATAATGTTCGTATTCAAAATGATGTAATTCTACAATTAACAGCACGTATTAAACGAAATGAAGATGCATTTAATGATGAATATCAATCAACATTATCAGTTAATACAAGTGTTCGAGGACTTGAACAACAAATAGCTGCTATACAAAGAGAACATTTTGTTCGGCGTGATACTCAATCAATTAGGTTTGAATTCTAATCAATGAAATTTTCATTTTGAATTAATGATTTTTCTAAATTTTTTCATTAAATTAAGTGTTGAAGGAATTCGAAAACAACTTGGTGAAACTAGTATTCAACGAGAACAATTAGAAAAAATACAATTAAATTTAGTTGAAGAACTTCGTTCTATTCGTAATCGCTTAGAAATTGATTCATCTAATTTTAATGCATTAACGAATGAAGTTAGACACCGAACAAGAAAATTAGAAGATGATCATCGATTAACGGTAAACATACTAGAAGACAAATGAAAGAAAATCTCATACTATGTCATCTTTCTATGCAAATCTTTTCAAGCATAAATCATAGAGGTTTTAAAGAAAAGCAACAATTAAGCATAATATAGAATTAATTGCATGTTTGACGGAAGTATGATTCCTATTCCGCTTCCTCAGAAGCTCAAGTTACGGATATGTGGATGATCTCTTTACTTGAATGTTGACATTCATATTCTGAACTTATTGAAATGTTACGAAAAGATAAAAACCATATTGATTGTCGAATAACAAAAAACAGCGTAGACAGAAATTCCAAAATAAAGAAAAATTATGGGAAATTTTTACAGCAACTACGTGTACGGCTTTATACTCAATTAGAAGAATTTCACAAAACATTCGTATTTATATTCATATCTAATGTTTCGTATACTTCAATAAATTGTTAATTATTTTCTGGACCTCTCTCAGTTATTTCTTCATGATGTTAAGAAAATTTTTCTCTTGATTTTATTTTTCAGCATTGCGACTATTTATTATAGTGCCCCATTGTCGTAGATCGAGTTTTTAAAATTTTATAAAACTTTATATTAAAAATTTAGTATATGATGACAAGTAAATATTTTCATGAAAATATACGGTTAAACTTTGATAATTTTAAGTCATTAATTGACAATGTTTGTAAAAATATATGCTAGTGAAACGAACTAATACTTGGTGACTCTTGATTTTTTTATTAAAAGTAAAAGAAATTCCTTTATTTTACTCATATTATATTTCTATGTATTTATTTTAATATGTCAATAAAGCATATCTCTGTTACACAAGCTTTCTTTGTAATATACTACTACAAAATCGAAAAACTAGATTAAAGTTATTG